CTGGCCGGGGAGGAACCGTGGCGACGTGCTTCACCCGGTCTGGACGCAGGCCTTCCCCTGCTTGGGAGCCGGCCAAGCCCGGGCAAAACAAGCTGTTTAATGTGCTTTGTTTTTCACTTCGGAAGAATCAACAGTAAAGGAGGCGCACTGATGACTTTGCAAATTGTCAATATGAAACCCGGGAATAGGCGCCAGTTCCGGCTGTTCTTTGCCCTCGCCCATTCTCCCAAAGAGACAGGAATTGAGGAGAAGGAAGAGTGGGTGTAGTGTTAACGTCAACTAGAAGGCAGCCAAAGCTAACTTCCATTCCCATCGGCCAGGTCGTGGGTTGCTTGGGGGGGGGGGCTCCTTGAGCGGCTCGGAGGAAGCTGGAAGGCAGCTCTGGGGCTGTGTGACCTCAGGGCCAGCCCAGTGCCCTCTCTGTGCCTCGTCTGTAAAAGCGGACGGCGGTGGGCTCAGCCTGGAAAGCAGATCCTCTCCGGGTGGGGTGCGGTTCTGTGTGAGGTGTCTAGCACATACCAGCGAAGGTGGGCTGTTATCTTGTAAAGTCTCCCTTTAAAAAAAAAAAAAACAAAAAAACTTGGGATCCCTGGGTGGCTCAGTGGTTTAGCGCCTGCCTTCAGCCCAGGGCATGATCCCAGAGACCCAGGATCGAGTCCCACGTCGGGCTCCCTGCCTGGAGCCTGCTTCTCCCTCTGCCTGTGTCTCTGCCTCTCTCTCACTCTGTGTATCTGTGATGAATAAATAAATAAAATCTTAAAAAAAAACTTTTAATTTTTTTCCTGCTTTTAGATACATAGAAAAGTTGCAAAAAGAATTCAGAGTTCCCATCTATTCCTCACCCGGCCTTACATAACCACCTTGCACCATCAGAACCCAGAAGTTAACACTGGCACCATGTTACCGTAATTCCTTGGTGCCGTGATACTGATAACGTGACATGGAGGAAATTACCGCTGGCACAGAGCCCCGAACTGGAGGCCCTACTGGAATTGCAGCCCGTCTACCGCATCCTTTCATTATCCTCGCATTGTCCCAGAATCCCGTCAGGTGCCACATGGCACTGAGCCACGCCTTCTCCCCCCGCCTCGCAAAGTCTGTGAGGGTTCCGCAGTCCCCAAGGGGGTGTTTGTCCCCACCTTGACAACTCCGAGCGAGGGGCCGGGAATCGATGGTTATTATTTTTGCCAAACGTCCCTCAATGTGGTGCTTTCGCGGGCCTGGGATGAGGTTCGCCAAACCCCGGAAGTGATGTGCCCCTATTAAATGTCCTGGATCGTGGGTCTGTGACATCAGGGGACTTAGCGCCGGGGCATTGGCCTTGATCCCTTGGCGTGGGCGGTTCCTGCCTGGGTTTCTTCCCTGCACCATGCGCCTCTTCTTCTGTCATCGCCCCTTTGGTGCTGGGCAGGTAACCTCGGGGAGCCACCCCATCATCGCCCTCTTGGTGCTGAGCCAGGCAAGCTCGGGGAGCCACCCCGTCATCACCCTCTTGGTGCTGAGCAGTTAACCTTGGGGAGCCACCCCATCGTCGCCCCCTTGGTGCTGAGCCAGGCAAGCTCGGGGAGCCACCCCGTCGTCACCCTCTTGGTGCTGGGCAGGTAACCTCGGGGAGCCGCTCCGAGGCTGTTACTCCTCGACCTCCTGCTCCCCGGTTCGGCATCGGCCGCGCGTCTGTGCTGCTCGGTGACGGTTCTCTGCTCCCCCACTTCGTCTCCGTGGACTCCCTGCAGTTCCCCTGCGACAACGAGCGGCCGCCTCTCCTCCACGGAGTCGGTGGCTTGCGTCCGTCCGTGTGGCCTCACGGATCTTTATTTTATCCTCCGGCTTCTAATCCGACGCCGTGGCTGCTGCCTCTGTGTCCCGAACTGCTCTCGTGTTGGCCTCTTGCGTTTTGCCATCGAGACGCACAAACGTATATCGACGTAGCGCTTCCATTCTTCACGATTCACGGCATGTTTGTTCTAGAATCATCTTGTAATTTTTTTTTTTTTGATCTTCCGCTCTCCCAGCCCTGGGTTCAGCCCCTTCTCCAAGCAGCGCCGATGATGCCTCTATTGGAGGAGGGTTTAGAAGCCGAGGCCTGGGCATCGGACGTGCTCATTGCTGCTGGGCTCTCCTGGCTTCTAGACCCCTCGAGTGGGCAGAGCTAGGAAGTGAGTGTGAGTCCGTGGTTCTGTACCGCTCTGTGTGTCTGTGCTGATGCGTCAACTTCCAGTTCGACAGCGGAGCTCGGTGTCAACTCCTTTTCTCGCCTGTGTCTGTCCTCTCCCAGAGGGAGGCGTCTGGCCTTCCTGCCTCTAACAGATTTGCTTATTTGGTCGCTTCTTGTGTACAGATAAGTGGTCTCTGCGTTACTAACCCGCACCCCCGTGAGAGACACACGTTCTGACCAGGTTACGCCTCTGTGCCGTCAGGATGTTGCCCCCCCCCACAGTTTCTTGGGCTAGATCTGTGTTTTCCCACCCCTTTGGGGCGCGGGGGGGATGATGGCATCCATCGGTAATGCGGTTAGCTTCGTTCGTTAGCGTGTGTACTCCGTTGGGGGTTCCTCCCACATCCTGATTTTTTTGTTTTTTTTTTTAATCCTTTTTTTTTTTTTAACCCATGATTTGGGATGCCATGTTTGTCATACGCGAAGTTTCTACGTGCGTTCGGGGGTGCTCTGGACACGCTGTTCTGGTGCACTGGGCCATCGGTGCCGTCACGCACCTGCACCCCACAGTTTGAGCTGCGCAGTTTCTTTTCCTTGTTCTTTTAGAAGATTTTATTTATTTATTCGGAGAGACGCAGAGAGAGAGAGGCAGAGACACAGGCAGAGGGAGAAGCAGGCTCCATGCAGGGAGCCCGATGCGGGACTCGACCCCGGGACTCCGGGATCATGACCTGGGCCAAAGGTAGATGCTCAACCGCTGAGGCCCCCAGGCGTCCCCTGAGCTGCGCAGGTTCTGTGGCGTGTTTTCACCTCGCGTGGGGCCAGTCCTCCTCGCGCTTTCCTGCTTGTTTTCCTGGGGACTCCTGCGTGTCACTTTCTTCCCCGTGAACGAAAAGTCCTGCTCTAGCCCAAGTGGGGTGGCGTCTGCACAGGGCCAGAGTCGTGAGTGGTGTGGGAGCTCGGGGTCGTCTCCCACTGCACACTGGGCTTCCTGCAACCCAAGGATTGGGCCCTTTGGAAGGGAAAGGGAACCCCTGGGTCTTTATTTTAACTCAGTAATTCGTTTCCTTTGTGAGCGTGCCCCTTGACATGACATTTCCCAGCAGAATCTTTTCTGGGTTTCAGTCCAGAAGGTGGCAGAGGTTGGAAGGGTGTGGGCTGCATCCACGGATCCCGGGGCCCCAGGGTGCTGCACCTGTAGCATAGGTGGCCACGACCAGCCCTGCCGGGCTCGGGATGCACTCAGCCTGCCGGCCCGGCCACCCCAGCCCTCACCCGGCCCCAGTCAGGCTCCAGCCGCGGAGAATGTCTGCGGAGCAGCCGGGTGACTTCATCGCTGTTGAGAAGAGGATCTCATTCTCCCCTGATGACTTGTAGGGGGTGAGATCGATGTTGCTAAAGCAGGGCGGGGTTGGAAGCGCCTAAGTGAGAACGTTCTGGGTCTTTAGGTTCACTCGTGGTCATCTGAAGGTCTTAAGAAATAGTCCCAGGATAACTTCACTGCTCGCTCATTTGCGCCGCGCTTGCCAGAAGAACTTTGGTGCCATTTGGTACCATTTTATTCCTCTGCCCTCTATCGCGGCTCGTGGTTGCAAACAGCTCACTCCAGTGGAGAGTCTGACACAGATGACATATGGTGGGAAGTTGTGAGGTTGAGTATATGTTTTTTGACCGCCCAGTCGGAGCTTACAAGACCGTGAGGCACTTCTTACAGCATCAGGAAGGGTTTTATCCCAGGGCTGTGTTGTCGGCGTAAGCGTTTGGCCTCCCACCAGAACTTATTTTTAAAAAGGCTGAGGGGCCCCTGGGTGGCTCAGCGGTTGAGTGTCCGCCTCTGGCTCAGGGCGTGACCCTGGGGTCCTGGGATCGAGTCCTGCATCAGGCTCCCCACAGAGAGCCTGCTTCTCCCTCTGCCTGTGTCTCTGCCTCTCTCTGGGTCTCCATGAATAACTAAAATAAAAAATCTTAGAATAAAAGTAAAAAGGCCAAGGCTTGGTTGACTATCCCAGCTTTAGCCCTGATTTATTCTTTTATCAGACATCAGCCTTGTTGCCTGGTGTTCCTGTTAATTTAATTGCACCTCCCTCATTTGGAGAATTTTGGTTGCAAGAACCGAGATGCACACGGTGGACAAGCCATGGAAGAGTTTACTCGTGGGGTGTGGGTGGGGGCACAGAGCTGAAGGCAGAGCTGAACTGGGAGACTCTGGAGAGAGGGCAGGAGCCCAGCAGCCCCAAAGGTCCAAGAAGCAGGGTATCGGGAACCTGCTCCTTGGGCATGGCCAGCAGGCTGGTTCATTTTTAGCTCAGGAATCTCAAATTCCCGGGAGAGGTGGCTGGCCCCTGGGGGTTCTTGCCCCCTCACCACTTGGGTGGTGGGAGAGGAGAAGGGGTGTCCCCATGTGAGGCGGGGAGAGGTGATTCTCTAAAACCAGAGAGAGCACCAGCTTTTGGCAAAGGAAGCGGAGGACAGAGCCCTCGAACCCTTGGCTAGATAGTGTGCTGGACCTGCAGAGCCACCCAGCACCCTGCTCTTTCCTGAACATGTGAGCATTCAGAACCCCCCTTGCCATCTCCATCGCCCCATCTCTGGCTTTGTCACTGTGCTTCTTGCCCCCCATCCCGCTCTGGTAACTGACGCCAGCGCCGAGCACATTCTACCGCGAGCAGGTCCTCGGGCGCGTGGACTTAGCGATAGCTGCCCACGGCTGCCGTTTAGGAGATTTAACTGGAAGGAGTCAGGTTACCTGTGCCCAGGTTTGCAGAGCTTTGTGGGGAGTATACGACGGTGGAGGAGGGCTGCCCCGTGCTGACCTGCCCTCATCGTGCCTCTCCTTCTGTTCCAGGGCCCGCTGCTCCTGTCTTTCCAGGAGGACCCGCTGCAGCAGCCCCTGGAGCTGGCGGTGCAGCAAGTCTCCAGTGTGGCCAGGTCAGCCCGCGAAAAGGTGAGCTGGAGCATGGTCGCCCGCCACGGAGCTTTCCCTGCCAAGGGAGCAAATTTAGAGCTGGGGTGGTGTGGGAGTGGGGGAGGGAAGTTATTTGGTTTTCAGATTATTGAAAATATGGACACCTTAAGGACCTTAAAAAAAAGAGTGATCTATCAACTGACAAATGGATAAATGAAACATAGTAGCGCTGCACGGTGGACTATTATTTAGCCTTGAAAAAGGAAGGGGGTTCTGGTACCTGCCACATGCACGGGCCTTGGAGACACAGTGTGGAGTGGGAGCAGCTAGTCACAGAAGGCGTGTCTCAAATGGCTTCATTTATGTGGCCTATCCAGGATGGCTGGATCCATAGAGATGGGAAGAAGGTTCGGGGTCGCCGGGCATTGGGGGTGGGTGGTGGAATGCAGAGTGACTGCCCCTGGGTGCAGGGTGACTTTGTGGGGTGATGATAATGGCCTCAAAGTGATGGCGGTGGTGTCGGACAAGTCTGCAAAATATGTTAAAAGCCATTGAATTGGGGGCGCCTGGGTGGCTCGGAGGGTCGGTTAAGCATCCGACTCTTGATTTCGACTCAGGTCATGATCTCAGGGTCCTGGACTCGAGCCCCACGTCGGTCTCCATGCTCAGCGGGGAGTCTGCTGGAGATTCTTTCCCTCTGCCCCTCCCTCTGTTCTCTCTCATTCTCTCTCTCTCTTAGATAAATAAATGAATCTTAAAGGAAAAACCATTTAATTTTACAGTTTATTTTTTTAGAAAGATTTTACTAATTTATTTGAGACAGAGAGAGAGAGAACAAGCAGGGAGGAGGGCCAGAGAGAGGGAGAAGCAGACACCCCACTGAGCAGGGAGCTTGATGTGGGACTGGATCCCAGGACCCTGGGATCATGACCTGAGCCGAAGGCAGATGCTTCACTGACTAGGCCCCCCAGGTGGCCCGAACTGTACAGTTTAAATGGGCAAAATAAATGCTACGTGAATCACATCTCAATAAAATGCTTACATTTTTGTGTATGTATCTGTACATGTGTACGTATGACACCTAGATTTGAGCCATCTGGATACTACGTAGAGTTCTTTTTTTTTTAAATGTTTTTTATTTATTCATGATATATAGAGAGAGACACACAGGAGGAGGGAGAAGCAGGCTCCATGCAGGGAGCCTGACGTGGGACTCGATCCCGGGACTCCAGGATCACACCCTGGGCCAAAGGCAGGCGCCAAACCGCTGCGCCACCCTGGGATTAGAGTTCATTTTATAGTCAGGGGTTGCTCCTGGGCTGAAATGACTTATTAGACTGGTCAAATGCCATAAATAATTCATTTTATTTTATTTTTTATTTATTTATTTTTCCATAAATAATTTAAAAGATTTTTTAAAAATTTTTAAATTTTTTTAAAGATTTTATTTATTTATTCATAGAGACAGAGAGAGAGAGAGAGAGAGAGAGAAAGAGAGAGAGAGAGAGGCAGAGACACAGGCAGAGGGAGAAGCAGGCTCCATGCAGGGAGCCCGACGTGGGACTCAATCCAGGGTCTCCAGGATCACGCCCTGGGCTGCAGGCGGCGCTAAACTGCTGTGCCATTGGGGCTTCCCAAGACTTTTTTTTTTAATGAAAAGTATTGGGGATCCCTGGGTGGCTCAGTGTTTTGGTGCCTGCCTTTGGCCCAGGGTGTGGTCCTAGAGTCCTGGGATCAAGTCCCATGTCGGGCTCCTGGCATGGATGGAGCCTGTTTCTCCCTCTGCCTGTGTCTCTGCCTCTCTCCCTCTCTCTCTCTATCATGAATAAATAAATAAATAAATAAAAAATAAATAAATGAAAAGTATCTGTAAAAAAAAAAACAAAAAACCTAAGAAACTTCCTCTGAAATACCAGGCTTGCCCTTGCTTCTACGTTTTACTGCCAGGTCTCACGCGTGCCGTTGAGCAGACAGTGGGGCACAGCGTGTGGGCCCTGCTGGAGGGGGAGGGATTGTCAGTCCCACAACCCCCGCCCCGGGATTCTGCTCCTGCCCCCACTGGAGGACAGGTTGCGGCTCTGCTTCGTTTGCTTCACTACAGTTCAGGGCTCTGGGTGGACCAGGGCCTCTCTCTTCATCTTCCACTGACGGATAATGGAGTCATCTGCTCTCTCCCACCATAATGCGAAGCTGCAGTGAACTTGCGTGGTGGCCTCCCCTCCCTGACTCTGCAGGTGCGAGCAGGAGAGTCGATCAGGGGTGCACCTGGGGCTGCCAGGTGGCAGGTGTGCCACTTGCTGCGTGACCTCAGGCACGAGCAGGGGAGTCGGTCGGGGGTGCACCCAGGGCTGCCAGGTGGCAGGTATGACCAGGTATTCCAGGATCCGTCACCAGAGCGCTGCTCCCCGGCAGCCTCGGAGGACGCTCCTGTCCCCCCTTGCCAATGCCGGAGGAGTCACCTGCTATATTATCCCTGTGACGAGCGTGGGGAAGTCTTTAGAAGATATTGGGATACGAGAGGAAGCCGACGGCAGCGACGCAGGATGTCGAGACCAGAATGGCCCACGAGGGCTGGAAGGGGCTGGGTCAGAGAGCAGGTGCCCAGTGCTTTTGTGAAACAGGGCGGTGGTGGGGGGTGGGGGTGGGTGGGAGGGTGCTGGGGGCAGCTGGCTGGGGGCCGCGGGCATCCTCTCTGTTACTGGCAGATGGGGACTGAGTCCCTTTGACAGTGCCCCTGGGGAGGAGGCGCGGAGCCCCCAGGGCTGGCCCCGAGGCCTAGAGGGGAAGCTGGGAGGCGGACTTAGCACTTGGCCATTTTTAGAGGCCTTGATGTTTAGTTGCCAGAAAAGCAAGTTTAGAAAGGGGATGGTGAAGCTGTGTTTATTTATCTTTTTAAGATCTTTCTTATATTTTAAAGATTAATTTATTTATTTGAGAGAGAGAGAGAGAGTGCGTGCATGAGTGAGCGAGAGAAAGAGCACGGGGGTGGGGTCGAGGGGCAGAGGGGGGAGAGAGAAAATCTCAAGCAGACTCTGTGCTGAGCGCAGAGCCCCATGTGGGGCTCGAACCCACGACCCTGAGATCCTGACCTGAGCTGAAATCAAGAGCCGGGCGTCCCACCGGCGGAACCACCCAGGTGCCCCTAACTGTGTTTATTTTAAGACCATCGCAGAAATGGTGCATGCTCATTAGAAAGCTAAATGCAGCGTAGCCGCCCGCCCCCCTCGTCCTCCTTCCCCTGCCCGCTGCCCGCAGCGTGTTCTCGGAAGCTGCCTACCTCCTGCAGGTAAGTGGCAATGCACACTCAGGATCTTGTTTCATTTTACGAGTTTCTTCAGAGTGCTTGACTCTTACGTGTTGGGTTTTCTTGGCCAAATGAGGACGCGGGAGCGCGTCATGGCCTTGTCACGGCTGTGGGTTGAGCTGTCCTTGGGGCAAGCCTACGGCCAGTCGGGTGTCATGCCCCGGCCTCCCCGAGTGGGTCCGGGTGGGGGGCCGAGTGCCACGGTGGCCTTCCAGCCCGCAGCCCGCGCACCCCCCCACAGTGGGCGGCCTCCCTGATGGGATCTGCCTGCTGTCGGGCTCCTGGGAACTTGGGCGGAGGTCGCCGCCGAGGCCGTGGGCCCAGCATCTTGGCTGACCACGGCATGGTTGAGGGCGCCGTTCTGGGGAGGCATCGAGCCAGAGTTTCTCCTGCAACGTGTCCCCGGAGGGAGGTTTCTTAACACCTGTGCGTCAGCGGAAGATGGGGACAAGCCACGGCCTCTCCTACGGCTCCAGGCCCTCGTGTTCTCGGACCGCTGCATCGGGCAGGACGCTTCCAGCAACCGAGTCACCCTCCTTCATTTAGGATCTACCCCCCTCCCCAACCTCTACCCCCACATCGGGGTTTCAGGCATCTTGAACCCTCCGTCCACCCCGTCATGCTTTTTCTGTGCTCCGCAGAGTTCTCGAGGAGGGAAGTCGATAATGCCACCCACATGGGGCCTGCAAACCAAGGTCGGAAAGAAATACAGATGCGTGGTTTCCAGGGAGTCACCCTCCCCTTCCTCGGCTCACTCCATACGATCAGCCCGTATCTTTCTCATCTCCCTGATTCAGCCCTGACAAGGGACGTGTGGATGGCACCTGAGCCAGTGACAGGGACACGTCCAGCCTGGACCACGGGCTTGGAGTATGTAATCCCGTCTTTGGCCATCTGGATGGGAGCGAGGGTCCCATTCTCCCTCTGGGACCCCCTGCTTCCCGTGGGGTCGTGAGTCTCTCTGCGGGCCACCAAGGGATAGAGCCGGGCCTGCCCTGTCCCCTGGGTGCCCCGTCCTTGACTTTTTACTGCAGAGCCTGAAGACTCCCATATGCCAAAGCCACGCCTTGGCAGAGATCTGGTTCATCGGCACCTCCTGCCCCCGTGTCCTACATGGGGTATGAGGACTTGTATGGCCGGAAGCAGCATGGGGCGCCTCGCAGAGCCCGTGATGGGTGCCGAGTGCACGCCCTGCCCACGCTTGGCTGGCCGGAGCAGCGTGACTTGTCGTGCTCTGATGCCGACACTGTCGGCTTTCTCTTCCACGCCATAACCGACTCTCTGGACACCCATGGGTGCTCAGTAACTCAATTCCATCCTCTCACTGACCCCCTAGGGTCAGCCAGGCCCCGCAGGCTAAGGGCGCAGCCCCATGCGACTGCCCCCTTCAAATGCCAGTCCCTTGTACTTATGGCCAAGCAGCCGCAGTCAGGGGATCCCCACCCTGCCTCAGCTTTGAGTTTGCTCATGGAACTCAGGAAAACAGTTTACTTCCTATTAATGGCTCGTAATATGGGAAACAACTCAAGAAGAGCCAGAGGGGAGAGAGGCGAGGTGTAGGGGAGGGGCCCTGAGCTGCGGGCACGCCACCCTCCCAGCACCTCCTCGTGCACACCGACCCGGAAGCTCTCTGACCCCATTGTTCAGGGTTTTTTTAGATTTTATTTATTTATTATTTATTTATCTGGGAAGAAACCCAGACGTTTATCCCTGACGGCAAGCCCTGCAGGTGTTG